AAGTAATGAAAATTTCGAGACAACCAACCCCAGTCACAATAAAGATAGACCAAAAACAACTGGAGAATGTGAAATGTTTGAAATATTTGGGTAGCTTGTTAACAGATGATGGAAGGTGCACTAGTGAAATTAAATCTAGGATTGCCATGGCAAAAGCTGCATTTAGCAAGAAGAATCTTTTCACCAGCAAATTGGACTTAAATTTGAGGAAGAAACTAATGAAATGCTACATAGCTCTGTATGGGGCTGAAACATGGACACTTAGGGCAGTAGATGAGAAACATCTGGAAAGTTTCGAAATGTGGTGTTGGAGAAGGATGGAGAAGATCAGTTGGACCGATTATGTGAGAAATGAAGAAGCGTTAATTATAGTCAGTGAGCAGAGGATTATCCTACACGAAATAAGAAAATGGAAGGCTAATTGGATTGGTCATGTTTTACGCAGAAACTGCCTTCTAAAAGAAGTTATTGAAGGAAAGATAGAGGGGCGGATAGAAGTGACCAGAAGACGAGGAAGAAGACGTAAGAAGATGATGGATGACCTTGGGGACAGATGAGGATACTGTCATTTGAAGGAGAAAGCTCTAGATCGCATTAAGTGGAGGAATTGTTTTGGAAGAGACTGTGGACCTGTCGTCTGACAGATTACTGATGGTGATGATGACTAGTTTTCATGGACTTGGTTTGTTGGCTAGGTTTGTTGCATAAAATTTTCACCTCCCTTTCTGTCTTGAATGAATGAATGAATGAATGAATGAAGGTATAAGGGGTGGGCCTTCTCGGCCCTTGCACCGCGACCTACAATGATATATTTTTTGGTCTTAGTTTCAGGTCTGTGCATCTCTTATCGTAATTTCTACTGTACATTTTTCCTGTTATCTCCCTTCAACATAGCCTGGTATTTATATAGCTGTAGTCTTATTGACATGGGTTGTCCAGTGATTGAGGTAAGCTCTTTCTAGGCCGCGCCATAGCTCAAGTGGTTAGTCGCTGCCTTCCCACCGCGGTAGCCCGGGTTCGATCCCGGGTATGGTCAAGTGGGATTTGTGGTAGACAAAGTGGTGCTGGGGCGGAATTTCTCCGAGTACTTCGGTTTCCCCTGCCAGTCTTCATTCCACCAAATTCTCCATCATAATCACCCGGGGCAGCCTACAATAGGCCAATCAGTGGCCGCCGTGCCGAGTGGATCCAGTTGGACTCCACTCCCCACTAAGCGAATTAAAAAGAAATTAAGGGCAGAGAGGACAAAATGTACAGCGCTGCAGTCTCCTCAGATAATAAATGCCTGATGATGGCCCAATTGTGCCTGAAACATGCAGCAGCTAGAGCAACGAATATATATAGTTAATGACATTTTAAAAAGTTTAACATACACTTTTAGCAAATTATATACGTTTTAGTGTTCTTTTAAGGAAGGTGAATTGTTGCATTATAGATGGAATATTTTATGGTTTAAAAATGCTAATTAAAATAAACTGATCTTAATTGAAATTAATTAAAATTAATTAACATCCCTGTGTTTTCCTTGCTGTTGTCATCCATTCATTTAAAAGGTATTTGCTTGAGTATCTCTTGTATTTATTTGTGCAGCATTCCCTTTGTGGCATGGGTATTATGTGTGTTATGAAAAGGCTGTTGATATAGTGTTATTATCAGTTTCATTATTTATGCACCATTGGCTGTAGGTTCTTCCATGGTGCTAGAGCAATCGTGATGTTAATTGGTCTGTGTATGTAGATATTATCAATTTATAATTTTCATTTCATGCATCATTTTGTGTTATAATATACAACTTCTTTATTAGAACCGTCACAACACAACTATATCGAGGTCAGTGCCTAGTTTTGGCTCTGCTATATGTTTCGGCTATTAATAGCCATCATCAGGCAAATACATGGCTAACATATATACATACATTCACTACAGAATGGACAATCCTTTGTAAGATGAGGCACCTACTAAATAATTAACATTAATATTACTACATCTACATCATGAGCCTCCAATAACAGTTTTTATATACACAGAAAATATAGAATACTCCAATTTGTCCATGGAAACGCAACAAAATTACAAAAACCAACGACTGACTCGATGTAAAGCATCAATCGAAGAATTTTATTCTTGTTTTATACTATAACTTCTGTTTTATATAATCTAATCTATTGTATTTTTACATCTAGTATTTTATATAATTAATATTATTGTATCCAATTTTACTAGTACTGCAGTTCAGTGGCGTATATATGTTAGCCATGTATTTGCCTGATGATAGCTATTAATAGCCCGAAACATGTAGCAGAGCCAAAACTAGGCACTGACCTCAATACAGTTGTGTTGTGACTGTTCTAATAAAGAAGTTGTATTAGCAATTTAATTTACTTCAATTAACATCAGTTTAATTTAATTAAGAAACGTGGCGTTCATATGCAATATGTAATTTTGACATACACTGCAACAATTTTAGCAAGACAGAAGGCACCAGATAATGGCCATATATGGCCGAAACATGTAGGGAGGAAGGCAAGTGACTTGAGAATAAGTTGCATTTAAGACGGAAATACGTATATGTGATATAAACAATATGTCAATGTGACAGGATGCTTAAATACAACATTAAGAACCCTTTTATGTTGTAACAATGCAAGCAAAAGGGATAAAAAAGCAAGATATTTACATTAACAGTAATGACTAGAGAGGCTGGAACCTACCCACTGCATAGGTTTCTTTTGAAAAGCCTTACCAGAAATTATATTCTTGGCTGTATGGATCTCGAACACATATTTCGCTGTTATCTTCATTGATCTCCAGAGCATCAATGCAACATGAATGATATTTTTCTGTTCTGTGTGGGTCCTGCAATAACACAGAGATGGATCAACTGACTTGTCTCCTCTGCATTTCTTACAGTGCATTCATCCTACCAGAGTTCACTATATGCAACACAAAATGGTATCAGATTCTGTATCCAGTGTACAATGTAGTCCATTTTATGGTTTGTTCTTTGGTTAGTTTATGAGACTATGTCCAATAAACCCATGACTGATATGGACCTTCACTTATTATTCCGTGAAATGACTATTCCAGCAATCTGGACAGGTGACAGAATAGAGTACAAGAAAATGTGACTGTGCTACCTCCATTTGGAAACATGTACTTTCTTGAACACTGATTTTCCGTAATATACTTAAAAAAGTATGCAGGAAATATTCCTAATCAATCGGCCTTCCATCATGAGCAGCCAACAGCTATAACCATGCCTACAGATTTGTGAGTAGTGTATAGTATTGTATAGTATTACATGCTGTCCATTAGTGAAGGCAGAATGATTAGAATGTATAATTTGTTAATGATGATGTACTGTGAATGGCTAAGAATACCAACAGTCAGAGGGCATGCCTTCTTGTCTGGTTGGTCTGCTTTGAGAACAACCCAGCTGATCGACTCTCAAGGCATCCAAACAGGTTCAGCCTCAGAGGCATAAAAGTGGGGGCCTGGAGAGACTCAGGGTCAGTCAAGAAGAGAAGCACCTACTGGGCAACACACTAGCACCCTTGCCATGTGGGAGGGGGGGGTAACATCTGAAAGGATGGTGAATAGGACAATGATCCACCAAAGCCAAAGTGTGAGATGTAGTGCCAAGGGTTGCGCGGCACTGGGATGGAAATTAGACCCTCAGGGCACCAGGCAACACCCCATTGTATTTATACAGGTGGGAACTTGTTAGATCCCCCTTACTTGTGAGACCACATATGGATACCAAGGAAGAAAAGCCTGATCAAAAGGACTGTAAAAGAAAGAGGGACCATTCTACAGGGATAAATGCTTTAGGAGGGTGGGAGCTCTGGTGGACCGTCATGGGGTACTGGTGTAACCACTGAATCTGCTGTTGCGGTTTCAGCCAAGGGCAAGGGTAAACCAGTAGACACAGAGAGACAGAGAGAGAGAGACCTGCCTTTGCTAACAACAGGGAGCCAGCAGTTCTAGCACACCTGCATAAGGAGAATGTCAGAGACATGTAGCCTCAGAATTAGGCTGGCTGCACCTAGAAAAGACAGAATTGTCTGGATGTGCTAGGCAGAAGCTGACTGTACCCCTACAAAAATGTGTGACCTCTAAAAAGACTCGGGGACTCCAGAGGACCAATAACCTGTAAGGAGGCTGTAGCCAATAACTGCAAGGAAAACTATCCTGAAGACAAACTGACAGAAGATGAACAAAATCTCATTCTCAAAGAACTGGGTAGAGTATTATGTTGAACTCCGAAAGGAGAACTACAACATCTGAGGTCCTTCAGGCAGGAAGGGTTGTGCACTGACAAACAGTCCAATCAGTGTCGCATCAAGGCCATTGACAATCACAGGTTGGGATCAGGGGCCAGGCTGAAAGCTACAGTTGGCAGAAACCTCATCAAGCCTGTCGAGGTGATTCTTAGGACGAAGAACAAGATTGCTAAAAGTCTTGATGAGCTACTGTAATTTATTAACAACCTCAGTCCAGGGCTTCATACTGAATGCTGTAGGGTGCCGGATAGGCTGAGCTGAAAGGCCAGATACTTAGCCTTTATATAGCCCAGGATTCCTTCAAAGTCGTCAAGAAGACTGGCTATAAAAATTTTACAGGACTCACTCAGGTGACTGTTAAGGTCCTGGGTGATCCTGAAGCAGGGTCCATATGTGAAGAAGGTCATAATGAGACCAGCATCCTCAGAATCTGCCATCAAGGAGGAGCAGACTACTATATCCACCCCAAGATTAAGATCACTGAATGAAGGAGGGCAATAGGAATGGTTGGGGGCATGCTCCAGTGAAGCCAGGGGCCCTTTTGGAGGGAGCCCAGACTGCTGAGAAAGGAAAAGGAAGGAAGAGGAGACCGAAGACCTTCCTCCAAGTAAAATGAAAGAGCAGGCAAAAAATAAACCAAAAGACCTCCCCCCCACCGACTAAATGCAAAGACTTAACACCATGAAAATCATTCAAATGAACCTACACCATAGCAAAGAAGCTATGGCAATTTTAAGCCAGCAGCTCATTGTGGGAACGCAGATGTAGCAGTTATTCAGGAACCTTGGATCTGTGGGGACCAAAGAGATTTAACTAGTTGGGAGAAAAATTCTTTCTTTTGCACCTGATGGTAATCCAAGGTCCTGTATTTATGTTAGGAACCACAGAACTCTGTTGTGGGGAACTCACTGTTACCACAGCATACCTTCCATATGACCCCGACGAACCACCACCAACTAATGAACTGAGGGGCATCATTGACTACTGGCAGCAACAGGAAAGCAGCTTATCATGGGATGTGGGCGCAAATTCACACCACATAATATGGGGCAGTACTTGCACCAATCCTAGGAAGAAAACCTTATGGAATATCTCATGAATTCAAAGATGAATATTCTTAATTTTGGTAATGACCCTACCTTTGTGTTCACACCAGGGACCAGTAAAACAAGAAACCTGGAAAGTAACTGGCATCTTTGTCAGACCATAGGTATATATGCTTTCAAACAGCTAACATAGCTTTAACCCAAGTTACTTTTACAGCTAAAGATAAACTAAGGACAAGTCTTGGGATGCATGTCGTGAAGAATTTGCATGATATGAGACACAGATCTGGCTGTAGATCAGTTGCAACAAGCCATCATCTCATCCTACAATAGCAATTGTCCAGCCAGGACAAATCACTCGCCAAGGAATTCACCTTGGTGGAATAAAAAACTGAGTGGACTGAGGGTCAAAACAAGAAGGCTGTTATCATGGCAAAACAGGTGACTGACAGGATTAACATTATTATGTTGCCAGATGGTCCATACACTCAAACTGGATGGGAAACTCTGAGAGACCTATTCAGAGTCTACTTCCCCAACTCAAGGTTTCATGATGATTAAAATGATGGGCAGAGACAGCTGAACCTGAAAGTATGAAGAAGCAGAACACACAGGGGAGACTGGAACCTGGCTATGAATGTAGTCAGTCTAAAATTAGATGGGCAATAAGTGCCTTTAAACCATTCAAATCAGCAAGAACAGGTGAGACTATTGGCATTCTTGTAGCAAGGGAAACAACACCTAGTCCCACAACTGTGTTGCATATTTAAAACTTTCTGGCATATGGATGTACTCCTATAGCTTACTTCTTTAAGTTTCTCGGGGTGGGGTGAGACTGAGTTCACTTGGTATGTCAGCCATTAATTGGCTTATTGTACCAGCCCTGGATGATAGATGATCATGAATGTGGAGCAGTCAGTGGAATGAGAATTGGCAGGGGAAATGGAAGTACTCAGACAGAACCTGCTTCAGTGCCGCTTTGTCTACCACAATTCCCACGTGACCTGACCTGTGCTCAAAGAGGCAATTAACTGCCTGAGCTATGGCATGGCCTTCATGTGGCTTGGAGACAAGTAAGAGTAATGTTTATACCGAAGCCTGGGAAATATAATTATACTGAGGCTAATGCTTGTCATTCTAACAGCCTGTTGTATATCCTTTTGAAGATGATGGAGAAGTTTGTGGACAGACATATTAGGAACTGTGTAACGAAGGAATATTCTCTGCATCGAAACCAGTGTGCCTACCAAACTGGAAAATCCATCAAAACTGCATTTCACTGAACTCAAGGAAATAGCCTTGGGTCAGTTTTTTATGGAACCAACTGACTTTTATGACACCCCCATAAGCAGGGTCCTACACTTTATTAAAAGTGTAGGATTAATAAAGGGCTAATCCAAGAGGAAGCACAATAGATCATTGAAGGTCACAGTGCGGGGGCCAGTTTTTATGGCCCACCCCTTACATACATACATACATACATATATACATACATACATACATACATACATACAATAGCCTTAGGAACCTTCTTGATACAGAGGAAGCTTTAGGAAGTCTCATTTGATGTAATAACACCAGCTGCTGAGCACTGAGCCCAACATTTTGAGATGGATATGCTCCATGCTGGAAAGCAAGAACACAGTAACTACATTATTGAGAGAAACTTTGAGGGGTCAATTATTATTATTATAATACAGTAGGCTATGCAGATGATAATGCAAGCTCAATCAGTGAAAATTCCTTCAGTCTGTCAGAGGTAATACAAACAGGTCTGGGTATAGTCCCGCAGTGGTGTGACAAGACAAATCTGTCTTGTCAACCCCAATAAGATGGTAATAATGCCATTTATTCAGAAGAGGGACATATGGGGACTTAAGGAACTAACCCTCTTCACTGAAACAATTCAGCTGTCCAGTGAGGTTAAGTGCCTTAGAATAACTTGAGGCAGGGGCTTGACTTAGAAGAAAGAGCAGGATAAGGTAACAAACAAGGCCTACTGAGCCATTTAGATATGCAGAGGCATGTTTGGGAGAACTTGGGGACTGAAACCAAAGGTGATGCAAGTGATGCAATGGATATACACCATGGTTGCAAGACCCATAGTTACCTATGTTACCACTGTGTAATGGCCTAAAGTTAAATTAATGGCAAGAGAACTTAATTTAGCAAATTGCAGAAGCTGGCCTGCTTGGATCTTACTGAAGCAATGGAGCCAGCTCCAACATCTGCAATTGAGGTCCATCTTAGCCTCCCCCAGTGCCTTTACAGGTAGAGGCTGAGAGCAGGGCAAGAATTTATATAGACTGTACTGGAGCGAACAATGGAAACCCAAATCCAAAGGATCATGAAGAGGTATGCATGTCTCAGGGCACGGAAGAACCCAGGCTACAGATGGATATTGGTAAAATGATACAAGACATGTCTATGACAAACATTTCACAGTCAGATTCCCTGACAGATGTGAATGGAAAGACAGGTTTCAGCCCAATAGGAAAGGAGGACTAGACTTGTACACAGGCAATTC